TTGTGATTGGATGGAGGAGCTCAGCATGATCACGTGAGGTTAGTCAAAGAAACTAAAGGTACGTTGTGATTGGATGGAGGAGCTCAGCATGATCACGTGAGGTTAGTCAAAGAAACTAAAGGTACGTTGTGATTAGATGGAGGAGCTCAGCTTGATCACGTGAGGTTAGTCAAAGAAACTAAAGGTACTTTGTGATTGGATGAAGGAGCTCAGCTTAACCACTTCCAGTCATTTTGACTTTGACTTATGAAGGAATGTATGGAGTTCGACCGCATGGTTATCGGGTTTGCGGAGTAAAATTCAAATTTTGTTCTTATTGAATCACCAAATGACCAATGAGTAATCGGTTTATAAAATTTGTTGTTGTTTGTTGCTCGACAGGGGAATGTTTTGTATTTTGGGGCAAAAAATAAGAGTTACAACACAACTTTCATTAATTCAATTGTAGTTTGATTCACAGAGTACCTTCTATTTCCTGAAACAAATAATCATACAAAGAATGGTTCACGAGCTCCACTGAAGCAAGCACGCGCTGTAATCTCTGATGCAATTGACTGCAGTCTAATCAAATTCACGTGAGAATCGAAAACTATAAGGGGTAAAACCTTTAAAGTATTTTCTTCTATTATCTAACTGTACCCTAGCTTTTTCTTTAACAAAATATTCCATAGATTTTAAAATAAAAAACGATTCTTGCAATAATTATATCATCATGAAATAATTCAAAACTTTTATTTACCCGTGATATTATTACGCTTTTCAGAAGCAAAACGTTTCCAGTCAGATAAATAACTTTCATCGTATTGATTCTAAGAGGCAATGTCCGCAGAAATCAAACAAAATCAAATATCGGTGGCCACGTTGAAAAAATTGATTTTGTTCACAGATGTCCAAAGATGTGGAATACTACCCAAATAAACGTACTGATGTTCATTTTGAACCGTGAAAATCGATTTTGGCCGTAGGCGCCCTCAATTCAGCCTAAATCTCAGGTGATAATGGTAGGTCTAAGAAAGGCGCTCGCGCATTAAAATGAAGCAAACTAGAGAAGTTTCTGTTTTTGGAATGTGGTAAAGAAAAGATATAGAGGATATTACATGGGCGCGCGGAGATACGAAATTTTTATTTTTTTCCGGTCCGGTATCCTAAAAAATCGTGCGCTCTGATTGGCTGTTTGATCAGGCGGTATTTTGTAAGTATCTGCCCGCGCTCGCGGACCGGTATCCTTTGCCGCTAAACAACAAAACGAAACGATTACAAAAACAAGTAAAAAAAAAAAAATACGGGGAAAAAATAAATAAGTTATTTACCGTCCTATAGTCGGTCCAGATAGGGAAAAACTGTGTCCTCGGTCTGTATATTCAAGACCTCAGGCACAGTTTTTCCCTATCCGGATCTCCTGGCCGGTAAATAACATGTAAAGAAGAAATATAGGTTTTTATCATATAATTATCCATAAAATACCTATATTTCTCCTTTTCGAAAAACTGATATTTTCACATGTGAAAATATCGTTTCCATGTGCATTTAAGCTATTAGTTCATAAATAAAAACTTTTTATAATAATAAAAAGCTTGTTAAGTTGATTTTATGGATAATTGTTAAGTTGATTTTATGGATAATTAATAAACGGAATATTACATGGGCACTTGGAGATACGAAATTTATCTTCTCGTGTTGAAAATCTCTCACTCGTTCGCTGCGCTTCACTCGTGAAAGATCTTTTCAACACTGGAAGATAAATTTCGTATCTCCGCGCGCCCATGTAATATCCTCTATGTATTCTTAAAATATTTTCTTGGTGTTCAGTTCTGATATTTGTTTTGATATCATTATTTGTTGATTAGATATTGGGTGCAATAAATTGTTTGTTTTTTTTTTCTTTTGTTTTTTCTTTTGCTCTTTTTCATATTATTTTTTGATGACATGAAAAGTCAAGATGATATTGTCAATGAAAACTTACGGTATTAACTTTTGATCTCGTGACCATTACGATCGTTATAAGTTTATCACTAAGACTTAATCATTGATTTTATTTGAAAAATTATGTAATGCATAATGATCAGCTTCAGTTCAATATACTCAGAAACCCGCTCCTATTGGACAATGGCTCAGAGTTTGAAAGCTTAGCGGAAAGAATTTCAAAGATTCAGTCGACTTTACTTTCCCTAGGCATAGTGTGAAATATCATTTAAAATGTTGATGATGCGTCGTGCGTGCGACTTTGTGGTCTTAGCCGTAGTTTTAGCTGTGTCTTCAACTGAAGCAAAGATAATTGAATTTGACTCTTGTGGATCTATCATTAGACCGATAATAGGGAAATACCTACAGATTGACATAACTCCATGTGACTCTGAACCTTGTGTCTTCCGCGTAGGAGCCAATGTTACCGCCAAAATCACCTTCATTCCTGAAGAAACTGTCCAAGATGGTCTCATCGAATTGGTGGCTATATTTCCTAGAGGGGAGAGACTACCATGGCCTCTGAAAAATCCCCTTGCTTGTGAAGACCACAATCTTAACTGTCCTTTGAAACCGAAAGAGTCTGCCACAGCGATCATACAGACTCGCGTTATAGAAGATATACACGGAAGCTACAAGCTTGTTGCTCAAGTTTACATGGCCGAAACAGTGCTGCAAAACTATGTTTTCTGTTTCAGAATACCTCTACAAGTAACTTACTAGGGTCAAAAATGAACTCTCGCTATTTTTACCTGCTGATGTAACCTTACCAAAGTGGTCAGTACAAGTCTGTTTTCTCAACGGAGATAAAAGAAAAATAGTGTGTAGCGAAAACTTATCATGCTTATATGAGCTGAATAACAGATCTTTGTTGTATGTATGCATAGCCCAATGCTATTCAAGACAAGCCACTGAATTTATATTAATAGACAATAAATGAGTGAATTTGTGGCCAAAAATGCTTTTATATTCTAGTCATGGTGAAGTAACTATCATATAGCTAATAGTTTAGCATATAGTCACTAGCTTCCGGGTCATGGGTTCCATTCCTATAAGGGACTCGGGTTTCTCAGTATTCTTACTCAGTTTTCATCGTTTTCATAATAAATTTCATTACTAAGTATTACTAAGTGGCTCCATGGGGTTTTATCCACGCGATAACATTTAACTTCAAATCGCAAATACGCGGACGCAGACAATCCAATACTAAAATTTTTTAAAGACGTTTCAAGGGAAAGATGAAGTTTTCGAACGAGCATGTTTTTACTGAAAGCGAAATTAATACAATATCGCTGCCTTTAAGCGTTGATGCTTTTACTTTATTGCCTATTTTCTCTAATTTTTGACCTAGCTTTTTAAATTGCTTTTGAGATATTGGAGGATAAGTAATTTGCTCAAGGTTCAGAAAATTTGAAGAAAATCTGTGAGAGCATTTTCGTGAAATAGTAACCTCGTTGAAAAGTAGTTTATTTCAGTTTTGAGTTCCTAATTTTATCTAAAGAAGTTGGTAAATGTTAATTAATTTTTTCGTGAATTCAAATCTACACGATGAACTGTTTTAAAATTTATGTATTTACTATGTAAATTAAGCGCCGCGTGACTCAAGTTGTTTTTATAAGTAGCAGTATTTTAAGCTAATGTCGAAAAAGAACAAAGAAATACTTGGGTTGTTTGGGCTCGGCATCCGACGAAACCTGTTGAACCAGACATAACTATATCCTAGATTAACTCTAGGACTATAGTTGACTTCAATTCTTGCTGTCTTCTGTACTTAACCAAGAATATTAGAAGCCTGGTATTGATATATACCTGACTCAAGAGGTGTAACCTTTTGTATCCCAAGGTCAGTATTATTCAATATGAATGCATTCGTGGGCATCAAACCATTGACTCTAGACCACACAATGGATGGTCTTGGATATCCTTTAGC